AAAAAGGTGGAAATGTTTGTAGCTGTCCACTGAATTAGGCATAATTCAGTGATTGAGTATTCCTTTAACTAGTTTATTAACATTTTTATAATTATTAGCCATTGAGAATTTATAGCATATAAACTTATTTTTATAAATGCACTTAACTATATTAGATATAATAAAGTCCTCATGGTAACCATTTCCTAGTAACACTCTGAATGTGAACTCTGTTAGTTTACCAGTAAACCAGATTGGTCCCCCGGCAACCGCCGGACCCTCCCCCCTGCGAAGCTTGGCGTTTCCTCCTCCTCACCTTATCCTCCCCTCCTCCCCCACTGCTCTCCAGCTGCCACTGCAGCACCTTGTGAAATGACTGAAAGTGTACTAAGTAGGTGTTTATATAGCCGTTGGGGTATTATCACAATCACGTTGCAATAATACCTCAACACCGGATCGAACCGTAATCTTGAAAGCGATGCACTCCCTCTCTCCCCCTCCTTCCCCCTTCCTGGTGTTATCATGATCATGACATCAACATCACGAAGTGTTGCCCTTCGAACTCCCGGTTTCGTTAGCGGTTGGTCCGGACGGACAGAACGACACACACACCGACAAACCGACACACCAAAGTTGTGGTTTATATAATGAAGCGATTAATTCAATTCAAATTTCTGAATGTGCAAATGTGGGCAAGCTTGAAATTTAGCGTCTAAGCGAGAATGACATTGATTCTGAACTAGCAGAAGTGTACATGAATAACTTGAATTGAAGTAAACACATCTAAGTGAAACATCCAGTGATTACCTGGATTCAACAACACAATAAATGACAGAGTTATAACTAGATTGTACGACAAGACGTAAAAAATGGAAGCGATGGAAGCAGTATTCGCAAGCTCCTAGCGCACTTGTTGTGTAGAAGAGATTGGAGGGAGGTATGTACGACCTTCTTGGTCAGCTCTCCCCCACCCACCAAACAAATGGTGTGAACACATGAACTCTTTTAGTTCATTAGTAAATGTGTCAAATACGAAACAAGTGTTAGCTATTCTAAGTGTTTCAGTGTATATAACGGAGCCTTTATTATTTATGGAGATATTTGTGTCATTATGTGGAAATCTAATAACCTTGAACTGAAAATCATCCGCCTTGTCCCAGATAATCACTGGATGTTTCTTTTAGATGTGTTTTCTTTAATTCAAGTGTATTCATATACACTTCTGCTAGTCGAATGTCAACGTCATTTTTGCTAAAACGCTAAATTTCAAGGCTTGCTCACTTTCGCTTTGAGGCAATGAGAATGAGCATGGAGGAGAGAAGATATATGAAAGAACACAATGGATGAAAAGAGCGAAGACAGAACCATGCTGCAAAAAAGAGAAATGGAAGCACTGGAAGCGTACTTAAGTTCTATTTTCTAAGTTTATTACGTCTGCAAAAGGCACGTGAGAAAGTAACCACAACGTGATGTGAACTATCAAACAAAAACCTGCTCACAACCAAACAAAATAATATAAATCATGAATTAGCTGTTAATCAGCCTCTGAGAACATTCGGCCTTCCTTGTGAGCAGATTTAACCGAAACGGCGTGGTGAATTACGCAAGTGATGCGGCGGCTTCTTCGTACTCAAGTAGTTCACTACCAGCCCTAAAGGTGAGCTTCTTGTCATTAATTGTTTTAGGGGCGCTTCACGAATCTTCAGGAGCTCCCTAGTTCTCAAGATGTCACTTGACATACACCTGAGGACCGTAAACAGCCGTCCGTTATACCAGTTCATGAACAGAGGTCAAAACTTGCGCCATCACTGTAAGGGGTCAGTCTCATGATGGATAAGCATAACCTCTCGACAGCAAGTGCCGGATAATTTCGCAAGCCTCTAGCGCATGGGTGGGATAGTCGGAGCAGAGGAGACATATGCGACTTGTGATCAGCTCTCTATCACCCACAAAGAGTTCGTTCACATGAAACTCATTCCGTGGTTGTGTTCATGGTGTTGGAAGTAAGTATTCAGGCTCGTAAGGTCAGATAATCTATTCTCTTCCTGTTGCCTACTATCTTAGAAAAGGTCGAGCTGTAGAGTAGGTGGAGTGTTTTTTGAATCTCTATACACATACTAAGACGATCTAAGGCTGCCATGGGCAGCCCGCACAGCTTGGCAAAAGTATCAATCGAAGGTGAGAACACAGAAAGGTCAGAGCCTGTTTCTTATCAAGTAGCTCTGGACGTCGAAATAAGATGGTCGTGAAAGGTTCACTGCAAATTCCCCCGGGTACAAGGCTCTCAGAATTCATGAAGGCTGTGAGCTGCTCTCCTGCTTGGTGGGTATTTCGTAGAAGGGTTTCCGTCTAAAACATGTATGATGGCTTTCTCTTCTTACATGGGAGTAGCTTATCAGTTCATATGTGCACCATTATGACCCGATGTTTGCTCTCAAAGAGGGCTCACATGTTCTGAGGGACATTTAAAAGAGAACTGATAGTAGGTGAGATCTAGAGCGAAGACCAATCCCTCCTTCCTTCTAGGCCATGTTCTAAGCACAGTAACCGGCCCACTCACTTGAAGATCCCTCCCCCCGCCTTTAGAGTGCGCCTTTAATATTATAGTATACATGCTTTGTGAAGCGCTCTTTCGGTAGTCTCTGATGCCATTATTAGATCATATCTTTACAGAAGAAATCTTAAGGAAGCGGTCGCGTTGGCTTAGGGTCAGGTAGGAGCTTCACATGTCGTCAGTGGGGAGCACCCCCGATTCTGATCCATCCGATAGCGACCCTCTCCTTTCCACCGATAGATTCTCTTCCACTGATGACGTGCGGAGCACGTGCCCGCCTTCCAGCCAGCCCGACTGCTTCCTTTGAGCTGATCCAGTTCCAATACATCTCCTGATTCAGTTTCAACGCTTTTGAAAGGTGTGTTTCAAACGTTTCCCTAAGGCACAACTGAAGCTGCAAACGTACCCTATAGTTAACGTTGATATTCGTTCGCAATAACCGTCCATTCAGGGCTTTGAGAGGTCGATAAGCCGGAGTCATATAGGCAGGATCTGCTTGCTTACTCTCCGTCTTCTGCAGTTCATTCCATATTTGAAGCTGGAACATAGCGTATTTGACTCTTCTGTGATAAAGCTCACCTCATCACCTAGCAACTCACAGGGGTTTCCCGGCTTCACGTGGGAATCTTTTTATTAGAAACATAAGGGCACCCCTCTACATCAGCCTATTATGTTAGTACTGATTTCAACTCATTCGCGACAATTTCAGCCACCGGTGGCTGACACGAAGATGATCATTTCGATAATGTTAGCTGTTGGTGGCTGATGGGCTTTGAATGAAAATTTAGTGAGCAATTCACGTTTTCTGAAATGCTTTTTTTCTGATGAGTTCTGATGAGAAAAATCTTCATACCTGCCTCAATGCGCGCCATCCCTGGGCAGGGAGGATCATTTTACTTCAATTTTATTGAGAAGCAATCTCACAAACTTCAATTCGGCCCTAGTTAACTTAACGTCAGAAAACAAATTTTGCCGTGACAGTTTTCCATGGAGCTTATTGGTTATCGTGATCACAAATATGAAAATATTCATGGCGAAAGGGCCAAAATAGGAGGAGAATTGGAGAAAAAATGCATCGACATGACGCGACCACTGCTTTCACCGAATTCCTTGAAAACGTGAATATGTGGGTTATTCAGTGTCACAAATCACATTCATTATGACATTCTTTTGACGCTAGCGCCAACTAACGCCAATTTGGAGCTGGCACCAGGTACCAGCGCATTTTCATTTTGCGCTGACGTCAAAGACGAATGTCATTTTCGTTATAAGGAATGCTAAATAACCCCAGTAGGTAAATTTTCAGTGAATTTGGTGAAAGAGGGTATTGCGCCGTGTCAATGCACTTCGTCGCCATTTTGACACCCACACCGAAAATAGGAGGCATTTTCGTGACCACAGTCATCAGTAACCTCATAAGAGAAGTTACAGCGAAATTTGTTTTCAACTTCGCCTCATTTCAAAAGCTGTCGTGACAATGTCGGCCACCTGTGGCTGACATTTCGCGATCGTCTCAAATTCCGGTCCGGATTGGCGATTTTCGAAAAACGCGCGCGGTCACGAATGGGTCGAAAACATTGTGAAGGGTGATCTGCTAGGACTTCTAGAAGCAGTGGTAGGAGATTTACTGACTAATCGCCAGAAGTTGGGGGATACCCATGAAGAGAAGTCCTATACGAAATCTTAATGAGCGAAGAATTATCCACAGTAAGTCCAGAGGTCGAAATCAAAAGAATATCACTCGAACGAAAGCCATTTTGTTAGATCGAAATTCCTTACATCTTCTCTTGTTATGTAGATGGGATTATTCATAATGATCCACGTGACCGTTTCGTGACATCCAGGAATCGTCAACGAACCCTCGTACGTGACGTAGTGATGAGTTCGCGGTAACAATCCAGCAGGATGGAGTTGACGTAGAGTTGTTCGCATACCTGAAGCGAACGTGACTACAATTAGTATGCCAAATATTCGCAGTTCCCTGTTTGCTGAATTTTCTCCTGTTTACATGGGTGCGGTTCCGTTCTGCCCCAAGGTCTTCGAAATAATAAGTCATTTTTCGTTGCTACAGTGGCTGAGTGCTCATAGTGACCTATAGTTGTGTTTAAGGAATCCTTCGCGGAAAATTCTTGCATTCTTTCTTGACATGAATGTGTCAGTTGTGATCACTGGAAACAGCACACAAAGTTTCACGCATGAAGATTCGGTTTCCGAAGAGAAACAAACGTACAAAAACTACACTCTATGGACCATCGAAGGTAATTCGGGCGGAGCCAAAGGCGAGGCATGGAAAGAAGTTGGCCTTTGGCCGGCTACGTATCAGGCGACGCAATGAAAGAATCGGGTTAAAGCGCGCGATTTCGGAGAGTAGACAAATCGATCGATAGAATAGGATGGAGTAGAAGTGTAAGATGTGAATGCAACGAAGCAGAAGGCCAGAAAGAGCTCCAAGAACCAAGTGGAAGCATCCCCGTCGCCATCCCGTCGCCAGCATTTGTGAAAGACGTCCGTGGGCACTAATGAAGTGGGGTTGTGGAAAGGCACTTATACCTTATCAAATATAATCATCATATCTAATGTAGGATGGTGGCCTGATTAGGTATGAGTGCCCTTCAGCAACTCCGCTTTGACTAGATATTGTCACTTCGATCAGATATTATGAGTGGTCCCCCCCCTTCCCCCACTCCCACCCCCACCCACAAACTACATTTTGACCGGAAGATCTATCGACCGCATGAATAATTTTTGTCGGACAGCAAGTCTTCACAGAAAACACATAGTCAGCTCAAGATAAAGGGAATTCATCGGCTGCCAGAGATTATATATGTACATGTCATACAAAACGATTAGCCATTTCTTTTCTTTCTCTCATTTTTTTATTTCATTTCTTTATTTCACTTGTTTTAATTTTTCCCCAAGTTACACCTTTCCTTTAACAAGTTGTGCAAGTTATCCAGCTAATACCTTTGTAAGTGATGCTTTGGGACGCCACCGTCAAACGTCGCAGTGCAACTTCGGTTACTGATCCGATCTGAAAAAGAAAATACTTTTTATGTCCTAAGGTAATGAGCTCGATCAACGAATGCCTATTAAACTCACATCGATGATTACGGAAACAGCTAGAAGTCCTCGTGGCTGTGTAACAGCTTGGCTATAATTTGTATACAAATCTACATTGTACGCTAACAGTTGGAACCTGGAAAAAGAAATGAAGGAGGGCGGAGTGGAGAAATGTTAGCATTAGAGGCACATTCCGTGAATAAGTAGGCGAAAACTGGAAGAATCATATCGCTCGATGGACGTAAAGAGGGTTTTGCTTCCCCCCTTCGGAAATCGTATTGGTTTGTTTCTGCTCTTGATATGAAGAAATACAGTATAGTAAAGTAGGAAATAGAACCAACTTAGGCTGGTGTCAGACTTTGCGAATCCAGCGATTCGCTAACGAATCGCGAAGCACGAGCTGTGCGCCAGCGAATCGAACGTTGCACCAGCGTTCGGAACTTGCGCTAACAGTTTGAAAGATGTACCAGCGAACCGAACGATGTACGAGCGACTAGGCAGCGTTTTGAAAGTGGCAAGAGTCCTTCTCGCTTGCACGTTTCTTGCCACTTTCCCGCTCTTTCCTGGCCTCTTCTATCCCATGCCCACGTGAGCATGGGAAAGTTTCGAGACAATGTGTGAAGGAGAGGGACTTCCGCCACTATCAAACACTGTTCCATCTTCGGTACATCCTTCAAACGGCTGGTACATAGTTCGATTTTCTGTTTCTTTTTTTTCTCGTTCGACGTGTAGGTGCATCGTTCTATGCTGGCGTATCGCTCGCATTCCCCGATTCGCTAGCGATTCGCTGGATTCGCAAAGTCTGACACAGTCTGGGCGCCCGTGGGAGGAGGGGGAGGGGCGGTGTCGCGCTAAACAGGGATTACAACAGTTTGAAGTTTTTGTTCTTTTCTTCTCCAGCACCGTAACCCACACCTATTCAATCGCGGAAAAGGCCTCCAACGTACCTCGGCCGGGAATCCTTACGCGATCCACCGTATGTTCGGACCCTCGCTCACCGTCTGGTTGACCAAAATGCATGGAGATCTGTGGAAATGAGCCATCACCATTTGAGCAGTGTTCCATCAGAAACCCACAAAAAATAAAGGTCTTAATACCTGGTGTAATCGATATCGATACGGCGAGGCTGGCCCACCAGTGATATTGATTGTGTTTTTGGACAGAGTCTCATTGATTGTAATTATTGGTAATTGACCAATGTTTTCAAATGTACCTTCCACCTGAAATATAAGATGAAAAAAAAGATGATTATGGTATTCTGTGAAAATTCACGAATAAATGAATATATGAATATTTAGATAATTTTGGGGCAAACTGAATCCATAAAGATCCATATTATTAAGAGTCCGTTGCATTCGTTGCATTTTTATCAACGCAGCAGAACAACAAGCTCTAAACGAGCCGATTAGCTCATGGTGGGAGGAGTTTAGATGATTCCCCATCAT